TAAGGAGATGATAATAATCTTAGTGTACCAGTATGTAGGAGGGTCAGGCATGGCGCACATACATCAGTGTTAAAACAGATTTATTCACATTTACCATGTAAGAAAGGCTCCACTACTATTACGATTTATTCGTAGAATTTATAAGATAATTTAGTATCATAAAATAATATATTTGACCTCGGAGTATGAAAWAGTTGACAATTCAACGTTTACATTTCATTTTTACGGACAACTTCTATTGGTAGACGGAGCATCCCACACTGAACCCAAGCGCGTGCGACTGGCATCTTAGTCACGGCAGACCAAGTCTTCCTAATGGGATTGAAGTACTCTACGGTRTCTAGTCGACCGGAATTATTRCATCCACCAAAAACATACAATCGATTATGCCACCGACATATCCCGGCAGCCTGCCTGGGCATACTCAAACTGGGCAAAGACGACCAATTATCGTTGATATAGTCATACACTTCACCACTAGACATACAGCTACCATTYTTGCCCTGRCCKCCYACAACATAGATTTTATTGTTGAGGACAGCAGCCGAGGGATAATATCTRGGTGACTGCATGGATACRACATCTTGCCAGGCTTTTAATCTTGGGCTGTACCTCTCTACGCTGTTTAGAATCTCSCCATCGTTGTTGATACCGCATAATGCGTAGATAAATCCGTCCAAATAGACTGCAGCATGCCCTGCTCGACTCRCTTTCATCGCAGTCTCGTGGGTCCACTTGTTAATGCTTGGCTCATACCTCATTACACTGTTAGTTGCCTTTAAATGGCTGGTCCGTCCTCCAATGACGTAGATCTGTTCCCCTGCTGTRACCGCGGTCAACGCGCAGCGCGTTTGAGGCAAGTCAGTAATAAGTGTCCAAGAGTTTGTACTGACATTAAACTGCTCAACAATTTGACTGTTTTCCGTCAAGTTCGTCCCAAACGCAAATAAAACGTTGTCGCATACAGTGACAGCATGCTCGTCGCGTGCGATGCTTGATTCAGCCAACTTGACCCACTTGTTTCTGTCTGGGACGAAGCAGACTACATCTCGACTTCTGTTCCCACCGCACAACACAATTCCATCAACGTACTTTTCCAGAACTTTCCGTGGCTTTTGGATTTGCTCAACGTCGTACACGACAAATGACTTCATAGCATTCAGTAAAAGTTTAGTGCAGTGAAAACTTTGCGAAACAAGCTTTTCTTGTTCCACTTTTTCAATGAGATAATGTTTTGATATTGATGCCAGACGAATCTTTGAAAACAGATCTTCAAAGAAATGYTTTCTGGAGCTGATATCGTGTCTTATCCATGTCATTATAGCTTCGTAAACTTGTTCTTCCAAACTAACWACAAGYTCATCGCGTGAAATTAAATCTAAAAGCACCTTATAGTCAACTACTTTAAAACCTTCTGATTCGCTTGCTGCGGCAAAATTATGAATGATAAACATTGTAGCAGTTTCCTTGAGTTGGTCGCAGCTGTATTTCTCGGCAAAGTCGCGCAGCTCAAAACAGTTTTCAGGGCAAATGATCGACTCCAAAAACTCGCATCCCATTCTTTTCAGGCTTTGGATTAAGAGGAAGTCGGCGGCGGCCACCAAACTTCTGGCATTAATTTCGTCGATGGTAACATTACCAGTATACATATACTCCAASAGMGGATCCATAATATCTGTATCAAGAACATCTAGTTCAATTTCTGTAGCATCTTTGTCTGCCATTTCACTGGTAAAAGCTCCTCGGAAGTACAAACTACTGGCTGCTAGTACGCATCTATGKACATTAAATGATTTTTCATTAACTTTAAGTACAACATCACAGAGCAGCTCGTCTACACGTAGTTTTTCCAGTGAAGACAACAAGTCGTCTTTGTACTCGTTCATGGTAAAACCACTTGCTATCATTCTCTGTAGTAACTGCTGAAGTTGTCCTGGAATTGTTTGTTTTTCGGTTGAAACAGCGAACGAACACGTAGATGATGTCGTTCAATGGCGAAATTTGCATACGATATGATAGAGCTGGAGCCACATAAATGCAAATGTCTTTTCGTTGTCATGGTTCAACTGGCGGAGTACGCTTYACATTTAAATCCTTAGTAAAATGGTTATGGATTGCCATGGTAGCACGCTGAATTGTTGAGCAAACGAAAAAGTATTATTCAATTTATAGATTTTCCTCTTTTTTGCATTTATTTTTCAGAAAGTCGTGTTCCTTGAGGAGCSTGCGTTAACCAATCAGGGCGAGCGTAAGGACAAACGATCTTTAAGTTTAAAAACAATGCACCTAATCTAGAGTAATCTACCGGGAATCGACTAATCACATCCCTCGAGTTTGGGCGCAACGGCCGTCCAATTGGATGCGTGACCGTTTTGCCAGTTGGTGTTTTTTTAGTCCTTCTCCTTTTTCTTTTCTTCTCTTTTTTTTTTTTTCTCGTTATTTTTGCTCGAACTTTTGAGAAAAAAAATACTAACAAAATCTTTGAGATTGCTGCAACATAATCTTATGATATCCCTCGAAATTAAACCTTTGCAGTTCATGACTAGTCTTAATGCGTTGATACGGCCAAGACGGTCTGCAAAATATMAATTTCAAAAATCTCAATTGTTTTTCTCGTTTCTTGTCGATGATAATCTTCATGTACAGCACTACTTGTCGTCCGCAGGTTTTGAATAATGATTGACTTTGACTTAGTAGGCGCTAAGGAAAACTTACACATAAAACATTATTTAACATGGACAGATAAAAAATTCATAAGGATAAACCTTAGACGTCTGGTATATTCATGAAYGCTAACGCACTGATAGAWGTTTTAKAGCAAAGGAAGAC